TGACTTACTGGTCAAATGTCCACCCGTTGAAACTCATAAAATTCTCATATGAAATAATATGCTAGAGTTATTTGAAAACAAAATAAACACATAGCATGCAACTGATCATAAAATAACATACTATAAAATATATTGTATCACGTATGTAACTGAAACACCATGCATACATACACATCACCACACAAATTATAACCAAAGGGCCTTTGCCCTCCTAGGAGGTTAGGAGTTCAAACCTCACCAAAAGTGAGGAGGGTGTGTGAGTTTATTTGTTGCATTTGCTAAATATAAATATTATATACTTAAAAAGCTTATATAATGCACGAAATAAATTTATACGCATGTATGCATTCCATTGTAAGCCTCATGAAGACTCATCTGTCTACGTAGATCGACTACTGAGAGCTCTTGACTGAAGACCTACACATTTTATACCATAATATTCAATTAATGACTTAATTTCTCCAAAAGTCAACAATATCGACTATGATCAAACTCGGCCGATTTTAAGCAAACTCCAAAACTGGGTTTTTAATGTCTCAAATACTTCCATTTGACCTCATCGTTAAAATAGTTGTGGGTCAAACGAGATAAAAGTCAACCCTAGGCCAACCTCGACTAATTTTAGTCAAACTCCAAGTCTAAAACTCAATAACACCCCAAAACGTCAAGATAATCATTTTATAATCTTATAAATTCATCTTTTCAACTTAAAGTATCCCAATAAATACTTAACTCAAATTATGACGCTTTATATCTCACTATTAAATCAAATAATAATAATTTAAGTGTTACACTTGATAACGACTCTTAACATCTGTTAATACTTTTAATAATTAAATGAATCATTTAATTATTAAAAGTGCCTTAAGACAGTTTCTAATATCAAATTGCGGCACCTCCAAAATACTTGTTAAATTATTTATTAAAAAAAATACTTTAATAAATATTTTCAAGAATTAATTAATTAAATTAAATAATTTTCCAAAATAAATTAAATAATTAATTAAATTGACACTTAAATTAATATATTAATAATTTAGAAATTAAATTACTTAATTAATAGAATGCTTAAAAACTAGATCTTTTACTAATTTAATTGGTTAAAATACATTTTTAATAAATATTTACCCAATTAAATTATTCAACTTAAATAGCTCAAAATATTAAACTTTTAAACCCAATATGATATTTAATCCAACTAATTAGATGAGTCCAAAAAATTTAAAAATAATATATGGGCTCAAATGTTAAGACCCATAAATAGACATAGTCCAACTCAATGCGATCTAGATCTAAGCCCAAGACTTGTGGATCTACCGAATCGGATCCATACCCGACCAGGACCTCATGCCCGACACGCCCCACTTGCACGGGCAATAGGTTTTCTGTCCATTCTAGCTTGTTTCTTCGTCGTTTTCGACAATTCTTTTTCTTAAAACTCTAGAAAATCATTTTCCTCAACTGCAGAAACAAAAATCATCGAAAACCATAAAAGTATTGAATCACATTTTCTCGTTTATATTTTCAGCTTAAAAACTACTCAAAATCGGACCTTCTAAACTAAAATCTGAGATATGAAGCTACTAAGGTTTGATAGAGTACTTAAAAACGAAGCTAATCATATGAAGAAATCGAATTTTGGTTGGGTATTTTACTTACAATTTATCTTTCGATTTTCTTGAACAAAAAATGTAGACGAAAGTGTTGGCTTCTTAATCCGCAATTTTGGCTTCTAAATGAGCTGAGAGGATAGTTGAAAGTCAAGTGGGGCCCTTCAAGATCTGAAACTAATGAGATATGTATTTTTGACAAAACAGGTCCCCCAACTAGACTTTACATGTTGCACTCTCCTGAATTATTAGATAATGACATTCGGCCCCTCTGGCTTTGATACTTTGACCAATATTACATTTTCACCCCCTGATCCAATTTTTCCTTTCATTTTTAGTTTGATTGAATACAACTCTTTTCATAGTTCCTCGCTCTCATTAAATGTCATGATTGACCTCTTTCCATGTTTTTCTTCACATTTTTGGTCCAATAAAATAAAACTAGTTTTTATTTTGTTCTCTTTTTCTTTTCATATTCATTTATTTACCCTTTTCTGGGGTGTCAATGTCAGAGTTGGATACAGATATAGTTTCTTTTAAGAAAAGTAACCTGAAACTGTACACAATCTTTCACTCAGCTTACAAAATATTTAATTAGCATAGAGAAGTTAATATATGAGAATGGTTGAGTAGTCGATTATTCTAATCACGTAGAGAGCTCTTAGAAAGCGTAATCTTGCATGGGAGGAGAACTCTACCTTAAATATCACCATGTGCATTAAATGCACGGGGACACATGTCACTTGAGATAAGATGTTCAATGTTGACTTCAGAACTTTAGAGAGTAATTTTTATCATGTATATGTGTTTCATGATATGATAGTTTCACATGTATTTGTTTCACCACGTGAATATTTTGTATTTTTCATTTCACTAGGTGACCACTTTTTTTTTCCACTTGTAATCTTTTCATAAGGTGAATACAAATATATGTGAAACAATATCTTAAATCATAGGTTTTGATGAAAACAAATCATGTAAAAATACTTTTATATTGGTTCTCACGGGTTTGTAACATATTTGTGGTTCTCATTAGATTATCGTCTTATATAGATAATAGTTATAAATGATACAAATCAATTAAATATTTAAATAATTTAATTTATAAACATTTTTGTACAATTTTCATGTACATAAATACATACATATATGATAGTACCAAATTTGAATAAAGAATTTGGTATAATTGATGGTATTTTGAAAAAATCTGGTTCGTAGAAAAGAAAATTTATGTTTTATTCGGTTTGAAAGATTCTTATAAGCTGTCAGAGACGTGGTGAAGGTTGTTGCAAGTTGCAACGACAATGGTGGTAGAGAGTGGTGATAACCGATGGATGATAGTGACTCTAGGATGCGAAGATGGTGGTAGTTGGTAGTGGTGGAGGAGGTAGTTGTAGGTATAGTTGATGTGGTAGTGGTAGAGGTAGAGGTGGAGGTGGTGGTGGACGGTGTACGACTTGCGATGAGAAATAAACACAAATTCCAGCAGACAATGTTGTAACAATGCTACAACATGCAGTCAACAGTGATTGATTCCACCATCTATTTTAAGGATATTCCTTTCGGACTTCCACCATCGCATTAATATCATAGTTTTCAACCCATATTCCTATGTGGTTTCAGGACCAATAATAATGTCATATGGTATCCTCAAAATATATGGATTAGCAAATTCATTTGTCTAAAAATCACTCTTCCGAGTTGGTATGTTCTTAGTAGCTCATTCCTGAGTCTACCATAACTTTAACATTTTGATGAACGACCAACCTGCCAAGAATAATCAATTGGAAAAACATAGATGACAAATTCTTTTATTAGTAACTCTTCCAAGTCTACTCTCATATCATTCAAATTGACGTGCATTCAGTGACTCATTCTTGAATCCACGACACTTTAACATTTCCAGACTGATCAACTCGTCGATAAGTGTTTTTGACTTTTTAAAACTTGAATGAAATAATGGTACGTTTTTTATTGCGAAACAACACCCACTTTCATCCGATTTAAAATCCCACCATTTATCTCACACCCAAGTTAACAGAGTTTGCTATTCATTAAATTAAAATACCAAGTCAGATGGAAACTGATTGGAATGATCAACAAAAGTCTTAGGAGCCTCTATTTATACAAGGATAAAGAAGAAAAATACAAAAATCTAACCTGAGTGTCAAACATAAAATACAAAGGTATACTTTAAAGTAGTTATCCTAAGTGCAACCAGGTACAACTCTCTAGAATCTTCCAAAAAATTACCCAAATATTATCCCTTGGTCTCAAAAGCTTATATTCTAGAATCTTCATGGTTAAATCCAAAAGTTGTCCAAAAAGCCACATCCAATTGATACACAACAACATTATGCTACATAATATCAATCAAACTGAAGGATTGTACAATGGAACGGGATTGATTATTACGCTACTTGGAATGTGGTCTGTTCATGGATACATAATTTTTGGAAGTAATAAGGGAAAGAATGTTACGATTCGACAAATCATAATGGCTCCAAACGATTCGAAGTGGCCTTGTAAGTTAATCGACGCCAATTACCTTTGGCACCTTGTTTCAGAGTGACTATCAACAAAAGTCAATGCCAATCGCTAAAACATACTATATCACACTTAAAGAATACTAAAAATACACTTCTTTTATGTTATATTTTAATTTTGTAAGTATATTATTCGTTTTATGTTGTAATAGGGTTTTTACACATGACCACCTATATATTGCTATTTCTCGAGTGATATCACGTGAAAGTTTAACAATACTTATTTATATTGAATAATAAGTATATAATATATTTAATGCATGGGGTCGTGATGGGTCGACGATCACGTTACCTGTCCCCGTCCCCATTCCCGGTTTTTAAATTTTAATGATCCTTGATTTTACGATGAATCCCTGATTTCATCGAGACGGATACATCGATTCCCTGATGGGACGGTATCATTCCCATACCTACATTCTCATGCCTATTAATGGGGTGGGCTAAATGCACCCCTATGCATTGCTTAATGCACTCCTATCCATGAATTTCTTCCTCACACATATCAACATCAATACATACTTTTTACATTCTCAATGCTTGAATGACCTGATTTTGACATCAAAAAGGGTGCCATTAGCACTCCCCCTATTAATTCATCGACATTTCATTGTGACTCAATTTTGTATTGTGCGTCTTGTTTCAAATCAATCATTTTACTTAACTTTTAATAAAAATAATTATCATGAAAATAAAATAAAAAAAAAAAAAAAAATGATTGGTTTAATATGCCACTTTCTTCATCAATCCGTCCTTCTGAGAAACTGAATCGAATCGCCATTAGAAAATTGCTGCATCTATACGTCTTTGATTGCATCTGGTAGATTGTACACGATTCAACACCCTAAATCTTCAAATCCATTCAAATTTGCTTCTGTTAATAACCACTGTTCCTCTCAAATCACGTGGAACACTGTTTTCTCATTTGAAAATCAATTCTCCTGTAGCAGAATTTCCAATTTAAAACCCTGATTGAGCCGAATTTAGGGTTTCTTTAGGTGGGATACACATATCCACTGTCATTTACATCTAAACGTAGTTACCCTTGAATACTATTGGAAGAGGAGGAAGAAGAAGAAGAAGAGAGAGCGAAAAGGGTTTCTCAGTTGAATGTAATATGAAATTGAGGGAGTATTTTGTATGTAGTGATAATAATAATAACAACGACAGAAATGGGGGAAGCAAAAGCTTGGAGATATAGTGGAGGGGTGTTGGTTTTGGCTAATAATAATCATCGTAAAAAGCTGAAGCATAATCAGCACCCAAAGCATTGTTGTTGGTTATGGCAGCCGGCGGAGACGGCGGCTATGGGGAAAGGACAGAGGCGGCGGATCTCGTGGTCGGTGGTGTGTGGGGTGATGTTGTTTGCTTTAGGTCTAATATCGTTATTTACCGGTCATGTGGCTTCGAATCTCGAGTGGTACTCTCAGAAACTCGTTAAACATCGATTATGGTACAACAAGATGGTAAGCTCTTTCACATTTTCGTTCTATCTCACGTACATTGTGTGAAATATTTGCTTATACAAATGATTTCTTGTTCATCAATCTATTTGTGTTTATGTAATGGAGGAAATCAATGATTGTTATTTGGGCGTTTACTAGTATCTTGTGGGTTTTTTTGCTTGTTCGTGATATTTTGGTTGCTCTGTATGGGTGTGCAATTTGAGCAAGATCATGTAGGTGTGTGTTGTGTACCTTTTTCTCTACATCGATTTACTGCTCGTTGACTTGGGAAGCAAGTCATAATGTAGGTTCAAAGGCCAAGCCTTTTGGTATCTGGCATAGTTAAACCTGTCCACTTGCAGAATTTCTGGTAAAACGTTGCTATCAAAACTTTATTGGGTTGCTTAGAATTGCTTGTCTTCCTCTCATATTTTAGTTCTTGCTTTGCTAGAGCTTATTGAAGGGTGAACAACAGGACACTGTTTTCTTGTGTTTTGCTTCTCTCACCCTCTTTGCCTCCACCAACTGTAAACTTCACTTATTGTCTATATATGTCTTATGGTTCCATGGATACTCTGAAAATATGTACTTTAAGATATCTTCCTTTTATTTGATATAGGAAAGAAAGACTGAAAAAGATAGTTGTTTTCCATTAGAAGATGAGCTAGAAGTGGACAAAATGAATAACTTTTTGTCAACACCATTTTCTGCCAACCCATGATGGGGAGAAAAAGATGATTTAAAGGAATTTGTTACACTTGTGTTAATTTCTGATTATCATTTATTTATTCGGTCTTTTCTTGGATTTCTAAATATGCAAGAAGCTTCTCACTTTTTCTTAATGCTGGGTTAGTCTTTATGGTATGAAATAGCTTTTAGGCTTGATTTGATTTTGTCATTCTTTATGGGTAGCCTTTCATGTATTGCCTAAAATTCTAGATGCTCAATGCTTTTGATGAAAGCCATATGACTTAAGTAGGTGATGGTTCTTGTATTTAGTCACGGAGGTCGTTCCTTTTCTTTTACTGGTTGCATTATAGTTTTGCCTTCTAATGTCTCCATTCAGAAAACCAAAGCAATTCAATATAGGAAGTGGTCTTATGAAGTCGAAGGTGTGAATTAATTTGGACTTAGGAGCACAGCTGTCCTTGAGAGATTCTGGATATTGGATAATTATGTTTTGCACAAGGCAAGTATGGGTAACTCCACGAGAGGCCACTCCTCGTAAACATGCTTGAAAGTTAAAACCATATGGCTACTGATGGGTGTGTATCTTATTATTGCCTTTTAAGATAGACTAGTATTTTTGTTGTTCCAAAATCATTTGTTTCAACCTTTTGCATGTTGTGTATAAGAATCTCCTTTATAGTCCATAGATCAAGACTTCAGGTTATGCTATGAACTGCTCATCAGAGAATTGAAATGCTGTCTGTTATCTTTTTCTCATTGTTGCATCATGCAGTGGCAATTTTTCTTTGTGAAGTTTGGAAGATTTTGGCACAACTACCTGGAGAAGTTACATTTTCTTAGTAAAGAATATCGTCAAAGTTGTTGTGTATGGATATAGCTATGAGTGCATATATTACCAAATTCTGAGTTTTTTAATAGCAACAAATGTTTGCCCATGTTTATTAATTCTTCTTGTGGCATCAATACTGAATTGTGCCTATGGGCATATCTGTATGCTTTTGTGCTTGTTTTGCCGTAGAAACTTACGAAAATTTCTAAAATTCAGGGTGGATTCAGTCATGGACCAATTGACATTTGGAAATCCAAGTTCTCAAAGTTCTATTACGGATGCAGTGAAAGAGGTCCTCATTATGCACGTAAGTTACCTTACCAATTATGATTGTTACTCTTGGACATTTGTAAGAACCAAGCGAGGCTGCTTTAACTTGGGTATTGTATGTTTCTTGGTGTTATGATAATGCCATATCATCACGATTTGTGCTTTGTTGCCCGTTTCTTCATTTCACAGTTGGTTAGGGTTTTATTTTGTTTCCGAGTTATCGTTCAGTGCATTTTAATTGTTCTTGGGAGGATTATTCAGTTGGAACAAATTTATCTCAAGATTGTTAACCAAATAAATGTGTTATTGTTAGAATCAAGGTGCAATGGGACTTTTTATTGTAAAAGATGTGCCAGAAAAACCTCATGATAAATTTCGTTGGTGCTCGGAAAATAATGAATCGAAACAGACACAATATATGACATTGTATTTATGTGGCTCAGTTCAAAATTGCCCATAGTCAACCATGAGCCAGTACTTTGAGTTTCTCATACAGCATGCTACAGATTTCTGAAAAGATCCTTAAAATATTAAATTTGATATTTACTGCTTAAATCATTCTGTAAACAGCCCCTGTTCGTGAGCCACTATCAAATGGCTATCTGCTTATTGGTGCCAGTGGAGGGCTGAACCAACAAAGAACAGGAGTAAGCATTCCTTCTTTTCTCTTTATATTTTCTAATGTCATTTGCTAGACAATTTGCTGGTGGAAGGATATGCTTGGGCATGTGTGCATGCAGAACGCGCTAATAAGTTAACTTATCTCTCTCAATTGGTGCAAAAAATTGGGTTAATCAAATCTATATTTATTATTGTGATCTTATTCACACAGATAACAGATGCTGTAGTTGTTGCACGAATACTAAATGCTACTTTGGTCGTTCCTGAGTTGGATCATCATTCATTTTGGAAGGACGATAGGTGAGTTGAGATCACATTAGTTAAAAGATTTGTCAAGTTGCTTGGTGTTCACATTTTTGTCTGATTTATATCAACTTTGCAGTGACTTCGCAAACATTTTTGATGTCAATTGGTTTATCTCTTTCCTTGCAAAGGATGTGCCTATCGTCAAAAGAGTACCGGACAAATATATGAGATCACTTGAAAAACCCCCATATACGATGCGTGTCCCACGAAAATCAGAACCGCAGTATTACGTTGATGAAGTTCTGCCCATACTGTTGAGGCGACATGTGAGAAGGATATGCCATATGACTTGAATTTTGATGTTTTTGATATTGAACTGTTAATTCTTTATTTACAACTATTGAACTACTTGACTTTCGAAATTGTGAAATCCCATTTCCATATTGAACTGTCCAGTACTGTTTTCAGTGCATTATGTTTTTGGTTATGCTGAAATATGACACTTTTTGGTTTTCTGATTTGTGATGACCAAATTCTGCAGGTTGTTCAGCTGACAAAGTTTGATTACAGGCTTGCTAGTGACCTTAACGAAGAACTGCAAAGGTTACGGTGCCGGGTCAATTATCATGCTTTCCGCTTTACAAAACCATTGCAGAATCTTGGTCATAAGCTGGTGATGAAAATGAGGAAGATGTCGAATCGCTTTATTGCTGTTCACTTAAGGTTTGTCTCTTAAGTTGCCAATTTTCTGATGGTGGTTTTTTTTTCTTTTATCTTATTTTTTCCCCAAAGATCAATGCCATAATGCTATGTTAAATGTAATTGCTGATGCCTAGAGTGGTAAGATTGAGAACAGACTTGAAAGCCTTGGAAAATCTCCAAAAAGATGATGCTTTTTCAAAATTAGAAATTCAACCTGAACTTTCTAAAAGTGGCTTAATGCCTGATCTTTTCTTAATATAGAAATTCTCTAATAGCTCAAAAACTCTTGGAATTTAAAAACTTTATATCTAGCCACTCTACTTCTATAAGGGAAAAAGTTAAAGTCTCCTGCTACTATAGAGTGAAAGAGGTCTCATTGGGAGATTAAATCCAAAAGACCATTATTAGCGTGTTGAGCTCACTACTCTCTCAACAGTGAACAAAGGTAAAAGTAAAACAGCAGCTCTCGACTGCCCAGCCAAAAAAGGCTCGATATGCTGTATAATGTCGGTCCCAATGGACTTGCTGAATGGAGCTAGATTATAGACCAAATGATAGTGGAAGCTCAAGCAGTTGGGCGAGTAACAACAACAGGATTGGTGAAGCGCAAGTGCCCAACAGGGTCTCTAGTGTAATAGGACTGACAAGAGAACAGTGAGTAGCACAAGAGGCATATTCTATCATTTTGGTTGCATAAAGTTTGGTAGGCTAGGATGAGCTGTTGTAGATGTTAGATCTAGGTCCGAACTACTCCATCAAATCCACCTAGAAAAAACAATAAGGTCAATGAAGTTCAGAGGATGTTGTATGAAGTTTGAGGAGTCTTTGGTAATGTATACCAAGCAGTGTCAAGGGGATGCAAGGGTTATTGTCAAACATTTGCATTCTTCCTTGAAGATCTGTGTGGCCTTAGCGTCAGCCCCGTCCTAGTTGAGCTAAGTAAGTCTTGAAAGAATGTAGMTATGAAGAGCTCAAGAGGAGAATGAAAGATCCCTTTGTAAGCTTATTGTTTATACTTTATGCTTCTCCAGCTTTGGATACAAATGAGGAGACCTCCCCATTTTGTATAAGCCTCCAGCCCGGAAGGATCATTTTAGATCCAAGAACCTTCTAGGTTCATTTACATAATCCGGAGAACACTACAAGCATCATGAGAGTCTACAAGTTGCAGGAAAGTCCTAAAGGATAGTTAGGTTATCCAAGAGCATTATGGAACCTTCTGGGATATTCTAGACCCTTTTATGGAGAATGCTCTCTTGGTGATCTTGGAAGGATGCTTGCTCAGTTGCTTGGGATATCCGAACTTGAAGAGCTTGAGTGTGATACTAGGGAGGTCATAAAATGGTGCGCAATGTCAAAGAGGAGGCAGGTGGCAAAAACTCTTTTTTACGTTTCTGAAGACGATGGGTATTGTTGTTAAACGAATAGGAGGAGCGGTGACGCTGATGGGGCCTTTAGATGGTGGAAAGGAGGTTGACCAATATCAGGCCTGGAGAACAAAAACATTGAGCAGCAGTCTGAAACCAAAGATAAGTGGCATCCTACAACCAAATGTCGCTTGTGGCAAACTTATGCCGCTCCCCTATTGTGGTGCGGTCGGCACACCCTATTACCATCTCTTTTCTTTTTTCTTATAAGTTTTGTTTTGGGTTTCTAATTACTCGTAAGTTGTGGTTGTCCCTAACGGAGAAAAAAATCTTCCCTATTGAGTCCACCCAATGTTATCTCAAACCCCCTCCCCCATCTTTGAAATTGGTACAATCCTTTGCCTATGATTGGAGGGATCTAAGGGCTTCATAGTGTTGCTATGTATTACAAACATAGAAAAACCTTGGTTATCGTTGTTCCATTTAGCGTATGCAACAAGCTGTCAAACCCGTAGGTGGTAGGTTGATCCTAGTAGATAAATGGTGTTTCTTGAGTTGACACATTATTTCTTCACATAGGTGCTCATTGCATGTGTGGTATTTTAAAAATTGATTGGTGGGACTATGATAGAGTTTGGCTGCCAAGATTGATGAAAAGCATACCCCCCATGTAAAATGTATGTGCTCTATTGTAACAAATACCAGGCAGAAACTTATCTTGATGAGTATGTTGCTTGTCGTACTCCTGCTGCAAATTGGTTGCGAAACTGGTGCCCTGCTAAACCAACTTTATATGTGTTAAAGTAGTATATGTCCCACATTATCAGGTTGTCAAGTTACATATATGTGGTTTGGGCACCTTGCTCCTTTGAGCTAAGCTTTAGGGAGTGAGTTCTACCCAAGCCCGTTCATCAATATGAATCGCAAAACTTTGTATGGATCACCCATGTTGCATACCACTCTAAATCTGGCGCATCCCTCCAATTTAGTGTGCTTCACCCGTACTATGATTTCACTTAAAACTCGGTGCACCCTAGTGTTACTTTACACTTTCATTTGACACATCCCTGTGCCATTTTGGCATCATGGGTTGTCAGCTGTTTCGTTCCTTGTCTTTGGTTGGCTGTTTTTGACTTGTATTACTTTGGTCCTTTTACGTCATTTTGGTATCTACTCTAGTGAATGTGCAAATGCAATTGAAGACTCCAACAGACATCAAAATAAATGAAATTGGCTAGCAGTGATGTGTAGTTGAATTTGAAAATATGCTTAAATATTAAACAATCAGGTATAGAATTTGATTAAAGCAAAAAAAACACCATGTTCAATCAAAATGTAGGTGCCACCAGGGCAAAAGTGAAATACTTGTGGTTGTCCAACTCCCAAGTTCCGATGTAAAATTTTTGTACCATTTGAGAGCTTTTTTCAAGTTATTGTCTATTACTGAACATATGCGTGAAATATTTGTGCAATAATGAGCTGTCCATCAATATAGTCATTATCTATGTTCTGTCCAAAACGACATCATCCAACAAAAGGAATCCACTTGAAATCGTAGAAAGAATTTGAAGACCATTTATTTTAGAATATTACACAGAATTAATTTAGAAATCAAGAAAGCAACTCTTTATCCTATCTTTAGAAAAGGTGGATGATTTAGGAACATTAAATTTATCTTGGTAATAGTTTTGAAATAGGTCTCAGTTTATGGGGAAAGTAACTTTTTGAAAAGTAGGCTTCTTTTGTATCTCCTTACAACTTGATCACATGTTAAAATGGATCACATGTTTTTTTAGCCTTATCCTTTTTAGTAGTGTCCTTTCATGGTCTCCTGCTCTTTCTATGATAGGTTTGAACCTGATATGCTTGCTTTTTCTGGTTGTTACTATGGTGGTGGCGATAAAGAGAGATATGAGCTCGGTGAAATCAGGAAAAGATGGACAACTTTGCCTGTGAGATTTCTGTCTTTACAATTTGTTATTGACTTGTCTTTCTCTATATGATTTTATGTTTTCCTTCTCTGCTCTTTGCTTTCTCCAAAAAAGACAGGATTTTCTGTGCACGTATGTAAGGGTTTGACTACTAATCAAATATATAAAATCCCATCAACAAACACCAAGTAGAGAAATCTTGTGGGCGAGAATTAATGTTATTTATATTATGTAGTTGCTATTGGCAGCGGGGTAAGTTCTATTGAACACTTAGCCAAAAAAGTGAACAGTCGCCAACAATTTGGGATCTCCCATAAAGGGAATTGTTGTTTGCGATGGATGTAGCATAATTGAAGTTAAGATTAAAAATATGTTGGGGTGATTGGATGAACAAATATGATCAAATTATTTGCATATTGAAGGCTACAAAATCTGGCTGCTTGAGGGATCGTTCACCAGTTCCATGTGCAAACTCAATAGTTGGAACAAGACTTGTTCAAGAAGCATTGATTTTCGTTCAATTATGCTTCCTTTGATCATATTTGTTTTTAATTTAGGAAGCAAGTCCTGATGGAGAGCGGAAGCGAGGGAAGTGTCCCCTTACGCCATATGAGGTGGGGTTGATGCTGCGTGCTCTCGGTTTTAAGAATGACACATGCATTTACGTTGCATCTGGTGAAATTTATGGTGGTGAAGAAACTCTGCAGCCTCTTAGGGAACTCTTTCCAAATTTCTACACAAAGGAGATGCTGGCTAGTGAAGAGCTTGAACCTTTTCTTCCGTTTTCTTCTCGTCTTGCAGCTATAGACTACATTGTTTGTGATGAGAGCGATGTCTTCGTCACAAATAACAATGGGAACATGGCAAAAATTCTTGCTGGTAGAAGGTATGTATGCTGAAATCTTGTTAATTAGAGAACATCTTTGCATATTTAATTTTTGGAAATGTATATTTGTGATGTTCTTTGTCCCGAAATAAATGCAATATTTGATTGAAACATAGTTGAAAGAAACTGTTGACAATTGATCCATTCACTCTGTCCATCCCAAGAAACTTGCAACATCCCCTTTTTTGGCAAGTTTTCATGTTTACATTACATATTTACCCGGTAGCATCATTGTAAATAATTGATAGTATTGATTTGGGTCTACGAGGTTCTTTTACTGTGTAGTGAAAGTAATTTAGATGTTTGACAAATAGTAATTTTCTTGAACTATATCCAAAATGCCCTTGATTATGACAAAATAGAAGAATGTATTGAATATATTATATTGGTTTATGTGACAACGAGGATATTTGAAACTTTGCCAAAAGGGAAATCATTATTTAGTATATGAGTACCCAAACAGGAAAATGGAGGGAGTATGACCAGTGAGAAGTAAATGCTACATTTATGCTTGTAACATGCAAGTTGGACTACCTCATGTTATGGCGCTGGGCTTCCTATGAAATTTGCAACACTTATTTTCTTATGATTTCTATGAATTAGGAATACTTCTTTTAAAATATCTTACCCATTATCATTGTGCACAAATAAATTGATGGTAATGACTTCGATCCACGAAGTTCTATTTTGTCTTTATTGAATGGTATTTTAGATATTTGAGTAATGGTTTAACAAGCACTGATCTTCATGGAAACAACCGCTCTATTCTTTGAGGGTAGAGGTCAAGGCTACCTACATCTCCACCCTCCCCCCCACAAAAAAAAGCCCCCACCTTTGGATGCTGCATACTGGCCCATTTGGTTTAGTCGAACATATTTCTTAGATTATGTGCAATTTCTTCTTGTTTGATTTATATTCAGCCAGCCTAGTAAGTCTTGCTGATTGCAACATGTTTAAAGGAGGTACATGGGGCATAAAAGAACCATTCGACCAAATGCGAAAAAGCTCAGTGCTTTATTCTTGCAACGAGAGAAGATGCTGTGGACCACTTTCTCTAGCAAGGTGAAATCAGCCCAAAGGGGCTTTATGGGTGAACCAGATGAGATGAAACCAGGCCGTGGTGACTTTCATGAATACCCTTCTTCCTGCATCTGCAAGAAACCATTCAAATTCTCTGACCTTGATAACCACAGAAACCAAACAGCAACAGAAGTTCCCTTTAACCCTGAAGCGGGATCTGGATATGGGCGCAATGAAGAAGACCAAGGTGTCAATAGTATGCAGGGAATCGAAAATGCAGGTATGATGACAAGAGATCATCATAATGCATCATCATCACTAGAAGAGAAGGAAGATGATGACTTTTTGGCTGACTAGGTGCAACAAAGAAACCCGATGATGGTATGTTTTATAAGTGATTGACATATAATCCATCGTACTCGATTGTTCATTGCAAACTAATATTCTTCTTGTGAAAATACCAAAAGAGTACTCTAGTTTGCAAGAAAGATAGAGGTTGGACAAGTTTAGAATGTAAATGCAAAAAGAATCATTATATGTGGTACCTTCGGTCAAAATTAGCTTATCTTTGTACTCCTTTTGTTTCAAAATAAGTGTCCACATTTCTATTTTGGTTTGTTCCAAAACAAGTGTCTAGTTATAAAAGTAAGTGTCTACTGCCCAATTTTACCCTTAATTATGAGATGAAGAGATTCATTATTCCTCTATTATTAAGGATAAAATTGTTAAAATATGTAGTAAGAACACATTTCTAAAAGTGTTGTTCCTAGTCATCGTGGACATTTATTTCGTGAGGAAAGGAGTAAAACATGGTCTTTATCTGTAATGTTCTAAAGAACAATGATTTGTTTACGATGAAAACGAAGCACAACTTATTTGAAAAGTCGATTTTTAGTGTCAACTTGATTTCCTTGACCATCTTGGCCTAAGTTGGCTTTACGTTCATATCTGGTGTGTGCAGATTTGTCTCATCGACGCAGAGTTTTACTTTAAGGTGACATGACTTCAAGTGACACGACTCAACAATGGCATTGTGCCTGTTACTACTATAAATGTTTGTATATGAAAGTGTAACTGCAACAGCAAATACAATTGTTGATTATATAGTGTCTGTAAGGTGTTGTAGCTTTGTCAAGTATTTGCTTTCTTTTACAACCCCAAGGATCCAACATCATTGGGGTTTTCTGTACTCCTTTATTCCATCTTTTGTAATCAATTTCCAAGTTCAAAGGTGAAATAGAGGCCCAAAACAATGGTTGTTTGCTTGATAGCATATATAAGGGGTTGTTTGCTTGATAGCATATATAAGGGGTTGTTTGTTAATTGCTAAATGATTTGATGCAGAATGATTAATAGGCTCTCATGATATAGTACAAAATAAAATATAATTGTTTGGTAATTGCATACAATGAAATTAGGGCTCTTAATGGTTAAGGGAGATCTATGATACAAAATCATTCGGAGGGTTTTAGAACCTTTAAGAGGTATATACCTCTTAGCAAAGATTACCACTAAACCATACATACTACGATGCAATTATTATATATAAATGGACCTGATATGCTTATGGGCTTCTTATATAAGAAGTAGGTATATACCTTGCATAAAAAAAATCTATTTTACGGATATGGTATGGCGACTCATTCAAAAATTCACTCAACCAAGCCCTTCGAATCCAAAAAATGACTGCAATATGCTGATGATTATCCTACTAATTGACAACTTCACAGACATCAAGATTCACTGCAGTGCATAGACAGACAAGTGAGACATAAGAAAATGGTGGTAAATCAAGCAAAAGCCTCGAGAAGAATTTGGTATAACAATTAACATGCATATCCCAGTAACCAGAGAATATCCATCCATATACAAAAGGCTTAACAGGATGAACCAAGCTGATTAAAGATTGCACTGACCAAATATGAACATCTACAAAAGCTAAAAGATTCTTCTTCTACAGAAAGGATGAGATTAGCCTTTCCTAGTTTTATCTTCTCTACTTATACACATACACTACTCTTTCCTCCATCAAACACCATGAACAAACCTCCTTTCAGCCATTGTTGGTGTTTCCTGTTCAAACATCAGGTACAAAGTTAATACGATCATCAGACTACTGACTGGCAAGTTGAATCAGATGGCTGAATGGAAATCCAAATGAAAACATAAACTCCCTAGTTAAGGAAACTATTGCAGTCATTTTAGGATTAGGGAACATCTCATTTTGAAAGTAGGATTTAAATCAAAATATTTTGTCATTAAGCTCGTATATATATGGGTTGGGTTCCGGTGAGAAGGGAAACTATGGTAGAAGCGTAAGAAGAGATCTCCAACCATGGATCAATCGTAATTGAATGTCAACACTAATGAGGTGCATTGAGATGCACCGGATCAACTTTCCCTTCTAAAGCACAATTCATGAGTGGTTATGAAATTAAAAGTGATCAAGGATTCAGGTCTTTTCTTACATTTCTCACTATAACTTCCCTTCTCACACGATCCTTCCGCCTATATGCATATATACATATCAAAAGGCTATATTCAAATAAGGTAATCTAGTAATTAGAAGATCACTTTGAACTATATTCTAATTCTTTGTTGCTATCTGCGTCTTACCTTTTGGAGTAACCTTGCTGTGGCTTCTTTGAGTAGAATGTGAAGCAGCGGGTATCTTTGAGATGGTCATAGAACTTTGCAACCCTTCCAATAGCTGTAAGCAATGAAATTGGAATAACTTAAAGAGAACTAGAGTTGATCTAAAGTCTAAACTAAGGACATTTATAAAAGCCAGAATTAGTGACTCACCCTTGACGTAGGCTGAATTTTACGATTTGATCTGCGGGGCTCAACAAGTTCTGGAAATGATTTTTCGACTTTCGTTGGCTTTCCACCAGCAGGTGCAAATTTACGTTTATGCAAGCGCTCAGATTTATTGCTTGTAGAAACTCCCTTTGGAGGCTTTGAGGGAATTGGTAATGAAGAAACGAAGTCAGCATTCCCTGGTGCATCCTCAATTTTGGAAGAAGACCCAAACTCAATCTGGTTTTGATAACCTGATTGGTTCTCATTATCACTGCCAGAATCCTGGCCGGTTTTGTTTATTGTATTAGTATCACGGATAGTGGATTTAGAAGAGGTCAACGTTCTGCCAGAAGGAATTGGTGGTTTTCTAGGCTTGAGCATTCTTGGTTTGGTTTCAGCAACTTGTCTTTCCTTGGTGTCACTTCTAGAATTGTTTTTCCACCCACGGGATCCTGGTGCTTGAGGGATCAAATATCTGGTAAACTTGACGGAATCATGTGTGGCTTTGTTCTTATTGCTTCCATCAGCAACATAATGTTTGCTCACATCCATAAATTTCTGTTTCTTCCCAGGTTTAGGAACACCAAAAATTACTCGCGGGCCTTCTTTTTGTAAGCCGCTCTTCATTGTTCTATGAGCACCAAGCTTCTTATCATCTCTAGTGCTATTGCTACCAACATTAAATAAACTTTCATGAGCCGATAAGGGCAGTGTTCTTGTTTCTTCCTGTTTCCTCGAGTCAACAAGGTCAATGTTTTCTGATGACCCATCATTCCTTTTACTCTCCACAACAGGACTTCCCAGTTTCAATCGCTTTTCCTGTCGTGTATCACCCTGTAACCAGATAAAATCTAGCTTAGACAACATGCAAAACGAAAACACTTGCCATATAAGTTATACAAAGATTCGAAATTGACCTGGGATGAAAGGAGTCTTTCAGATGTATGGCACTCAATCCACTTGCCATCTTTCCACATGAAAGTTGGCCGGACAAACCAGGATCGAACAATGGATGTCTCTCCTTGAGCTACAAATATGCAAAATAAGAGGGAAGAACACACTGGCCAGTTATATAATCATTACAAAGCAGCAATTTCAGCACTGTAACAAAATGAACTTCCAACAGACCTGGAAATTGAACAGTTAGAGAAGTAAGATCAAACTTGTTTGTCTCCATGACAACTCCCTCACGCCAGCTGCAGAAAAAGTACCATGTAAAAAAGATATTCTATGCTGAAAATTCAGTGCATGCGTTGTAAAATAAAAATAAGCATTAGTTTCAGTGACAATATCCTTCTTGGCAATAAGCCAAGAAGTACACCGTATGAACAGAATAACATGTTGGACCACAGGAAGACGGTAAATTTGATGTTTCTATTTACAACATTGTTGTTTAGGGATTGTCTGATTACGACGAGAATTAGTGCTCATGGAAAACTCTATCCCAGCATGTGGGGACCATGAAGGGCCCTGTGCAAACCACAGGGGGCGTTTCCACGTATACTAATCCCTGTGTGCGATTCTGCAACACTATTTTCTTTTTTCCTTTCAACAACATACCGATCTTGGATCCACACATCAACTCGGTCTCCACTAGACCACACAAAATCTGTTGCAGCTGTCCTGCCTCTCTTCCTAGTCCCTTCAAGACGCATGGTAGTCACAGGATGGGCGACACGTATCTTGGGTACTTCAGTGCCTTTAATTTCAAGTGGCACCCATTCCTTTAAATGCCCTGAACCTAGAGGAAATAATGTAAAGTAAGTATTGAGGTTTCACAACTGTTAGTAGAATCATGCAACCAACATGCAAATACTTTTATGCATTGGAACACATTTTGTAACTACAAAAGTTCAACCAACATCCAACACAGAGGCACCAACAAAGTACATAACATCTTACCTTCATCTGATTGGATTTCCGTATAACATACAAGGGCTTTTCCATCTTTCAAACTCAATACATTAGCTCCAAACCAGGCACCATTATCTTTATCATCGTCCTTGTACACCTAAAACACAATTACATTGATATGAAGAAAATGCAAGAAAAGCCCAAAAAGGAAACAATCTTCTTTGAAAAGTTAAGGTTGAGAATACAGCATCAAAAGCAGCTAAACTTTCTGTTGTTCCAGCACACTTACCTCAACAAGACAACCTTCCTTGATATTATTCTCTTTCAAAGTGTCTGAAATAACTTGAGGCTTAGTCGGACCAAGAACAGTAGTATCAATTGATCCAACCTCTGACTCAGTTGCAACCCCAAAGGTTTTGGACAGGTCCAGACCTTTACGAACCCTTGGCTTTCTCTTGTCTTTTTCATGGCTTGTAATTGGAACCGTGACTTCATCAATCTCCATTACATGATTATCTGCCAAATCCCCAGAATTCTCTTTTCCTGATAAATTACATTTTATAGTCATATTTCCTTTATTAGATACTTCAGGAGCAGCTTTGACATCCTCTTTATCAGTACCATTAAAATTTCCTGCAGTTATGACCTGCTGCTTGGATGCTAACTGGGGAGTCTTCCAGTAACCCTCAGGACCAGCTTCAACCAAATTTCGTAAGGGCAAGGGTTCACTCATTGCAACAATTTGTCCAGCTTGAGAGACTGCTTCAGCTGCAAGTTCAGCAGCTTTTACAATCGCATTTAGGTTTTCAGCATGTTTTGAGGAAGCTGATGCAGCTTCAACCCTCTGCCAAGCAGCTTCTCTGGCAGTATATATAATTGAATTAGGAAGGCTACTTCTGTCCCTGCCTCTCAATATGGCATCAGGGATAGCTTTATCAAATTTGTTGCCAAGTGAAATCATGCCGCTTTGATCAAAATTTCCACTTCTATTTGATAGAAAAATGTTGACCATTGACCTTGCTTGTTCCGCAACATTTGATGCAATTTTAGCAGCAGCTGCCGCCACCTTAGCAACAGAAGCAGCGGCTGCTATTGAAACAGCTGAGGATACCAGCTTTGCTTCATCATCGGAATTCAAACTGGAGTTACTTTGTCTTTCCAGCTGGCTCCATACGCCGTGGCAGTGGTTGACTGCAGCAGCAGCAAGCTCAGCAGCGTTCTCCGCTTGTAGCTTAGACTCCTCAACTTTGCTCAAAATCTCCTCTGATATTACAACTTTTTCCATGTTCTGATCACCACTCCTAGGATGATGATGAGTAGGTGATACAGCTGAAAGGAACTTAGCAGGACTGCTTTTAGATGTGATGAAAGCAGGTGTTGATACCACAACAGAAGTAGAAAAAGGACTACTAACAACAGGGGCAGTCACTGAATCTGTCTTATTTTGAGCAAGTAATGACATCTTACCCTGATCCTCAGTACGAGGGGCCTGAGGCAAATGCATAACTACAGGTGCAGAGACAGATGCTACCTGAGGATCACATATCCGTTTGACATTAGCACTAGGAGTACCTTTTTTTCTCTTTCTGCTTTTTGAATCGCTGCATGGCTGGTCGGATGATGCAGTTGCCTTCTTCATGGCTGATAGAGAAGACGCCTCAGGAGAAATGCTAAGAGCAGAATTGAGAACCACTGGAGTGGATGTATGCTTTATACCTACACTGCCTGGTTCTTTGATGGGGGTTAATTTCACTGCCTCAGTTACAGGCAATGCAGGAAAACGAGGACCTGTGTTAAAAGCAGGAATTGGAGAAGCAGCAACCCACTGACCAGCAAAGGGTCCCTGAGATAACCAAGAAGGGTTATACCCACTAAAATTTTGTGCTGCTGGAGTTTGAAAAGAATGTAGAGGAGAAACTGCTTGGTGATAATCAAGACGAGCAGCTCTTGGCACGTAACTAGACTCCAAAGCATCACAAGAAGGGGTAGCGATATTCCAAAGAGGCGATGAAAGGGGAATCATAGGACTAACAATTGGTGGAGTACCCTTGTTGCTTGCTCCTCCACTTGGTGAAGAAATAATTTTGTTTTGAATAGAAGCATGTTTAACTCCTTGATCAGCTCTGTTACCTGCATCTCTCAAGTCTGAAATGAAGTTAATGCATTACAAGACACCATAACAGATGATCAAACAAGGACTTGGGAAGCAAAATATCATGAGTTACCTGATCGTGATTTCATAGGGGTAGCAGAGTTGGCCTGGGCTTTCTGAACATGAAGCCTTTCTACACAAGCCCGCCAAACACCCTCCCAAGTTCTTCCACCATCTGTATACAGAACACATGAAGTCACTCAAATAAGATTTATGATACAATATGTAGCATGACAAACATTTTACTGCACTAACCAGATTGCCCAAATGCAGCAATCATATGAGACTCTTCAGGTGTTGTCCCTGATCTGCAACCAAGAACATCATGAATTATTAGCGGATATTGAAATCAAAAGACTATGAAAATAAAGACTGCCCTTTGCAAGTCTTTCGACACACAAAAACTCCTTGAGGTCTACTGAGCCAACCCCAAATGCATGTCTCTGACTTGATTTGGCAATCAAGGAGATATAACAAACCTTTACTAGGGTCCCAATGCCCCTTTTTCTTTGGTTGAAAAGAATGCCCACAAGATCATTTTGGTTCAAATTGCGATGTTTTTATATAAAAAGGGTATGACTTTTTTTCTTTTTCTTTCTGTATTTCAGCAAGCACAATGATTAGTTCACAAAAAAACTACAAGTATGATGGTTAGAAAACTCATTTAACTCATTTTGGTAAGAGAGCACTTATTTTGAAATATGCAAAAAATAGGACATTTGTTAAGGGATACCATGAAGAAACTTCCACCCGATAATTCCATTTTCCATGCCATCGGTGTCACAAGGATAAAGCCAACAACCACTAAAAGCCACAAAGTTTTTAAATCAAAATGCACTATTACCTCTATTTAAAAACTGCGCGTCACATAAATAGATAGAGTACTTACATTAACGAGCCATACACTAATATTTGTGCACGCAATTGCACTTGTTGATTATCAGTAAAAGGCTGCTGAAATATCGATGTTGAATTATTCAGATCTGGAAGCTTTGGCAAAGGAAAGATGCCACCGGGTTTTGTACCGCCCCGTTCAATATCATTGGACTTAACCTCTTCAAATTGAATAACATGACCAGTTGCAGGGGACGTTAACGACACAGATGATTTTTCTACTCTTACTGAATCTCTTGCAGGAGGTGTTTCCTTTAGGTGGTTACCTTTCCTGGCATTTTCCTTCCCAACCGATTTTCGCCTAGTTTTACGCTCAGATTTGACTCCTATTTGAGGGGTCATACAACTAAGATTCTGAGGAGTAAGAGAACTTCCGTGTAACTTCGCAGCATCCACTTGGCTAGTACTAGAATCTGTGGGTGGTCCTTCCATAATCTATAGAAATTTATAATAAATCCATGTCACATTTGTGAAGGGCATGATTAAGGGTAGATGAAATTAAGAAATACATCATATAAAAGCATATATGTGAAAATAGTTACCTTTGGCGACACAGAAACTTGAAATGTAGGATACGATGGAAAACCCTTGTCAGCTTGTCCAAGGCCAGCACTTTTATTGACCTCAAAAGTAAAGTTTGTTTCTTCTTGTGTAGCATTGCTTGAAGGAACTGACCGAATGTTATCCTCAACATCATCAGCGACCTTAGAAGGCAGGACACCACCATGCCTGACATCTTTGGTAGCCTCTTGCTTGTCTTTAGTACTCTCAGAAAGTTCCATGCTGCTAACACATGTAGGAGAAACAACATGGGGTTTATCCAAAGACGAAAAGCTACCTCCATCCGGCTCTATGTGATCAGCATCACATTCAGATGAACGAGCTACGCCCACAAAAGTCTGATGCTCATCTGACTTGACTGCAAAACCCAAAACAGGGGTAGAAATAGTGTTTAGATGATGATCTGCATCATAAAATCTTTGACATTACAGAATAGCTTTATAAGTGACAATATAATCTCTGTATGAAAAAATATTTTGTTCGCTAAGATACAGAAAACGTTTCATTGCAAGCCCTTCTAGCATGGGCTTCCTCTAAGTTCATAAACATGCCTCCAATAGTAAATTATATTCAAGCTAAATTTTCTCTAATAAACAGAGAACTGATTCTGTGAATGGGGCTCCCTGCTCCAAAATACTACAATCACGTAAAGCAGTATATATTTTTCAACACACCATGATCCAATCAAGTTAACTATGTAGTTGCATAACATAAAAAGCAAGCCAAATGGCAATACAAGAAAATGGTAATAGAACCAACCACCACAAACTAATGAGGTATACATGCAATCAGCTCCAGGTGATACATCTTAGGATTCTCAGCCCATACTGAGAGGGAAACGGCGAAGGTCATGCGATATTTTAAAGGTATACTGTATGCTTACCTTCTATCATTGATTCCTTAGGTTCCTCTAGACCTCCTGCTTCAGAATTACTGCCCCCTTTTGCAGACGACGCAAAAGGACTTGTCTCCAAGATCTTGAAACATTCTTGACCATCAGTGTTAGTCAGTTCTTGTTCAATCTGGCTTGCATTGCAGCATTCAACCGGTGTGACACGATGTACAACTTTTTTGACAAGGTCAGGAGATGCTTCTTTTTCATCAAAAGATGATGGATTCATTGAAGCAGAAGCAACCACACTTTCTACCTGTGGAATCTCATTTTGGGAATTCCCTTCACAGGAAAATCCTACTTTCATTTTTTCGTTGTAATCCTGGTGCACTAAACTCACCCCAAATATAGGTGATTTTGGTTGGTCATCAGTTTCAGAATTAGCAAGACTCCCAGCAAGTAGGTGAGAACCATCAGATGTGTCAGGGGTCGAACTTTTATCAGATTCTGTAGCAGCAACTGATAATGCAAAGTAAAACAGGAATAAGTTCCAAAGATTGAAAAATGCATATACATGTAACAAAGAAGCCTAGATGCTTTATGATCATAATTCTAATTTACCTCGTTCAACTCGAACTGACACGTCAGATTCAAAATTATGAGCTATCACAGAATCCTTTTTACTGCCTTCTGCGAATAAAGATGGATCGACATTCTTTTTGCTATCAATAGCTTGAACAACCTCAACATCCATATCACTACTTTCCAGGGGCAAGCCTGCATCTTCTTTCATGTTGAAAGATACATCTTGATCCACATGCATAGTGCCTGGCTCAGATGACCTAATTTCGCAGCCCACCTGCATTGAACCAGAAATCTTAGCAGACAAGCTCCTATCCTCATCATCTGAGTCGCCTATGTGGACCACTGAAGTGTGGTTACCAGCTATTAGATCCTCATTGGAAACTTCTTTAGTAAGCACTTCACCTGGCAAGCATGCTGCTGCCAATCTAGTACCTACAGCATTGCTATTGCCACCGCCTGTTTCAGATAAGTTGCCTGTAGACACCACAGATGCTTTGGAAGTGATCTGCTGCACATCCTTTCCTATAGCATATTTGTTTTCATCAACACAAGAATTCTTTACGGGAGATAGCTTAGACAAAGAATTCGCATTTGACTTTGGAGAATCAGGATCTTCTGACTTTGTGTTCCCATCCTGAACAGCTTGCAGCTCAAAATTTCCAGCATTTGCAGAAGCTGCCAGAGGTTCTTCATGCATATTTCCTTTGAGATCTTGATCAACCTCTGAGCAGATCATAGAACCAGTGACTGCACACTTGCTACCCTGAGAAGGTTCAGCTGAACAAACAGGGTCATCACACCCTTGAGAGATCTGCATGTTAGAGCTCCTTGTAGGCTCCTCACTGGACAGGATGCTAATTTCCGCTGATCGGTTCTCAACAGATTCAGCACCCGGGACAACACAGAGAGACTTTTCCACGTTATACGTACAACTTTCAACAATCAAGGTGCCACTGTCCATGGGAACATCCATGCTATTTTCTTTACTTTGAATATTCTGCTCTGTTACGATACTACACAAGTTTTTGGACAAACCACTAGCATTAACAGAAACCTGCTGCAGGTTTTCCTGAACCATTAACCCCTCAATACTTGCATCAACATTCTCTGAGGAGCATGGATTTTCTGCCCTGGAGACAGAAGGGTCTTCTGGCAATTCCTTATTCATGGACTCATTTACCAAATTCTCAGCCTCCTTTTGAATTACATCAGATGTGCCATCCACTTTTTCCTCCAAAACAGGTACATTACACTTTTCACTTATAACTACTGAATCCAACTCTCCACCCGATATTTGAGCCTCTTGCGATTGTGAAGTGAATCTAACATGAGGATGCTCATATCCAGAGCTCACACTAAACCCAGGAAAATTACCCAATAACTCATTTGGCACTGATGCATTTTGAGCATGAGTAACAAGATCCTTTCCATCATCTTGATTCAAATTATGATCCATGATTTTGGTTAAGCTACCAGACTCATCACAGATATCCAACTGTTCAATTATTGTTTCTACCACGACTTTCTCTTCCTGCCCTACTGATTTTAGAAGCATTTCAACAGATTCTGAAGATGTTGCTTCAGACCATACATTGTTACGTCTTAATTCCACAGCACTTGAACTGAACTCTATACCACTATTTCCACGTGAATATTCTTCAATCCACTGGTTGTCTTCTTGACTTGTGATACCAAGAAAAACCTCGTTTTCAATCAAACTGTCAAATCTTAAGTGCCCCTGGAGGCTATCATCAAAGTCAAATTTGGGAAGAGCATATGGATGCAAAACAGGAGAAACCTTGGAGCAACTTTCCCCGGCTATATGAAGATTTTGTCCTTGAAATTCATTGTCATCATAGGCCATTGGTATAAACCTACAGTTGATATAAAGTTGGAAGGGAAGAAAAATAAACAACAAATTCTGTACATAAACTAACATGAGTAAATTAGAATTTAAGTGAGACAGAGACTAACCCAATTGCATATAAATAAAGCACAAGCAATACAAGAATAACCAAAGAGTACAGTAAATCTTGAACTGTGCTGTTAACAAATAACTGCTTCTTAATTACATGCCTATACCAATTCCTAGCTTTACTAGATATTCGTTTCAGCCCCTCCTCCAGGTGGGAGATAATGGCCTCGTTTGGTTCGGTTACTATGCCAATTCAATTTATTTTTAGCGAGTGCCTATAATCTTCCTTATTTTACCTTACGCACATTAGATCGCTTTTATAATTGCTAGCACATTTCAGTTGGTAAACCCAAGTTTGTGACTTATAAAGAATGGGAGTATATATGAAGAAGTTACAGGTATGCTTTTACATCTGAGGCAGGCCACCTATTTGGAAGCTGACATACATGTTTTTAGGCCAAGTACCTCACTGTACATCTCAAAGATCAGAACCGGGGAGGCGATAATAACTTCTGTGAAGCATTTTACTTAATTCCTAGTTCTTACAGATGTGGACGACTATGACTTCCCTACAAAGGACATCATTGCTATCAATGCAAACATAGCCTCTACGTGAGGAGGTTAATCTAAAGATAAAGAAAGACTCTGTACCATTGGCTTGGTAGTTACGGTGCCACAAACATGATAGAAACCCAAAAATTATCGCATATAGCACATGGCCGCCTTTCTTAAAACAGAAAAAATCCGAGACCTTGAAAACTAATAGGTCAGAAGTGAATCGCGTTTGGTCATCGTAAACATCAAATGTAGAGTGACAAAATCAAATCATTAATTATTAATTTAACACACACAAAAACAGTGTGACCAAGTGTCATTGAACCACCCAAAGTTAAAATCAGTAGACAGAAGTAACCATCAATGTGAAACAAAATTCTTTCTTTCCTACAAGTATTGCAACTGCAGCCATGTTGGGATGTCTCATATCAGTCATTCAGTTGTGATGTTCCTTTGACAACATCTTAAGTCAAATTATTTCTTTATATATTGTCATCTTATAAATTCTTTATGGTCAGGACTTTGGTGCAGAAAATTTTCCAATAATTATTGAAGGACATTTGTTCACATAACTAATAGTCAAAAGTTCTATTAAACTAATAAATGTTTCAACTATTATTTATCAAGTAATTTACTAGAATGGTCAAAGCAAAACAACCAAAGTAAAGCCTAGGTAAACTGAGTCGCGTCAATCATAATCATCATCAATGACTGGTGGGTTGTTATTTTTTCATTTGTTGGTATCATTTCATCCATCACTTCCATCATCATCAAAATCATAATATTGAGCTTCGTCATCATCAAAATCATTATATTTCTCATTGCCTGGTCAACAAGGTTCTTCCTAATCATTAATTTACTCCTCCGTTCAAATTTATTTTCTGTATTCTTGTTTTATGTTTAGGAAAGTGAAAACTTGATAGAAAAAGATGTTTGCCAACCATTTACGTTTTAAAAACCACAATAACTGTACAAAACTTTGTAAACAAAAAATATAAATTGCCAAAGGGTCAATTGCTCAGAGGCACCCGCGTTACCGATACTCCGGTAGATCCCAGCCTCTTTGGAGGTCAAGGGTTCAAGCCTCACCAAAGGTGAAGAGTTTCCGTAAGTTTTGTTGTATATGAATATTCTGTACTTAAAAACAATTATATAGTGTAAACTTAATTTGATGTTTTCACCGTTTACAATACCAGTTTATGAAAAAAGCAGACTTTGAATATTTAACTTTAATAAGTTTGAGGTTTCAAACCTAATAAAATACATTTTTACATCTGAATTTTCATCTTTACCTCTTTGAAAAATGAATAGCCTTGGCAAACTTGTCAAAACTAAAACTTCTTAATGAAGTAAGTAATGATACTTATTTATTTGTAACATGCAAAGATAAGCCAATAACTCAATTACTGATAAAAATAAGAACATACGCTACCTCGCTGACTGTCATAGAAATATAAAAAGTAAAAGAAATAAGAAAGAAGAGATGAACCAGAATGCAGAAGAAAAAAAAAGATGTTCGGTTTCACATAAGAAATGAGAAGTATAGGAATGCCAAAGCACACAAAAGCAAATTGATGGAATATAAGGAAGCTGAGAAGTTGAGTAGTCAAAGAAGACGTATAGGCATAGTCATGACAGGAAGTAGATACACATGCATTGTTTGTATCATGGAATCTAGCTAGTTGTTGAAGCATTCAGGCAGAAGCCTATGTTTAAATGGGTTCTTTCATACTATTAGTTTATGGAAAGTGAAAAGAGGTTTCAGCGAATGTGAATAATAACTCCAAAAGACCCCAAATAACATTTTTTTTTTCACTAGTCACATTGTAGGCACAATTTTCTAGAATCTAAAAAAATATGGAAGTAACACTAAATGGTTCTTAATGAACTGAAACTCCAAAGTGCTTAAACCATGAGGCCATGACCATATCACTGGAAATGGTAGTTGAACAATTTAGAACCTTATCTTGAACCTAGAGAAAATATGGAAGTAACATGAAATGGTTCTTATTGAACTCAAACTCAAAGTGCTTAAACCATGAAGCCATAACCACCCTTGCACACATTAGAAAAAGTATGCAAGCATATGGACATGCAGACACCAAACCATCATATAAATTTAAAGTAACCTCACTGCCTGGTGCCACATATACTTAACAACCCACCACTAATGTCAACACTCAAAACCTACTCTAATACAAAAATCTTTGATGTTGTCTCCCCAGACCCAACACAAACACACACATCTATCTCTTCCCCTATATATTTCAATGGATGTTGCAAATGAATACCTTTTGAGCCAAATTGGAGTCATTCATGCTCTGGATACGGAAATGTAAAAAGAGAGAAGTTGATTTGTTGACGCTTGTGAGTGTGGAAATGACAGGAGGTTTTATTTAGAAAGTAGAGAATGATTCATTTTTAGAATCACCCTATTTCATTTAAGACTCCTGCAAATCCTCACTACAATTTTCTCACACTTGCAGTAAATCTAACCATAGACCCCGTCCCTAACACACACAAAATGAGCGAATTTCTGACGAACTTCCACTATCCCTCCCTCGTTCCGTCTTACTCCACCCATAAAATTAACCCTTTTGCATCACTAGGCCGACCAATTGAATACATCCTAACAAGAAAAACCAACTTCTTGCAGAAAATTACTAAACAAAGACACCAACTCAAAGCTTATGACAAAAGGAAACAGACAGTTATTACCAGAAGAAGTCTAAAAGAGAAGCTACCTCCCTCCATCCGGCGTACAAATCCTAACTGTTGGATCAACTGAACACCAATCTTGGTTGGAGCGTTGGCAGCTGCTCCTTCATAACAAAACCTCCAAAGCTCTAAAAACTTTGAAATAATACAACAAAACAAGCCCTAATTCTTTGAATCACGCACACCACACAGCTGCACAACAACTTCTAACAGACCCAGTCTTGAACCACCTGATTTACAGAAACTTCCCTATGAACTGTAGAAGATAAGTAGACGGCGACCAAGAGAGAGAAACGGAGAATTTAGAGAGAGAGATTTTCCAACGGTGTGAGGTAAAAGCCGTCCGTCAGCGAGAGATGACGACAAAATGGAATTTGAAAAGGAGTCGAGGGGTGAAAAAGTAATTCCACATGTTAGGAGCAATTGCCCACGTGGAGCCATGTGATTGGATTAAGAAAAAGTGGCGACCAATAGCTTTTTTTCACTTTATTATTATGATTTATTTTTTGTATTTCAAGTCCAAGTCAAACCTAATCCAATAAAAAATAAATAAAAAATATGCATTTTTATGCTTTGAGGACTAAAACATTTTGGATATATTTTTTCTACAAATTAATAATAATAATAATATATATATATATATATAAATATAATTTTTTTATATTTTTTTAAAATTTATTTAATTATATCATTTGTAGTTTAAGATTTCAATTAAGTTTGTTACATTTATCTATACTATATTATAAAGTATTTGACATAAACTCTTAAAAATTATTTTTTATGTATGAAGTACTGTTTATTAATGCATATTACTTAAAATTTAATATTACAAATAAATTTATTAAAGCTCCATGTATAAATTCGTGTAACTAATTGCGGATAAAAATAATCAAATAGAGAATAAACATCTCATTTTAAAATATAAAAAATCTAAAATATAATTAGGATAATTATCGAGTTCTAACAAAATAATTAATTATTATCTTTATAAGAAAATTATATTATTAAAGCAAATATAAATTACTTCGTTATTGAACCTAAATTAAATTATAAAATTAAAAAACGAATTAAAAAATTACACAAAAAATAGGAATTTTAAATAGTTAATTTTGATATCTTTTTGTAAAAATTTTTATAACATCTTCAAATTTATAATTTATTCAAAAGTAAAAACATCATTGTTTTTTCAAAATCACATAAGACCATACTATAATATCGACTGAGATAAATAATAGAATGAAGTATTAAAATCAAGATATATCTCGCTGTAATATTAAACCTTTTATCTCTAATATCATAAAATTAAACATTTATAATGAGGGACAGATCTATGAAGCTTTGAGGGAAACCTATGCACTCGTTTAACTTATTTTTGCAAGTAGAATTTTCGGGTATCAAATGTGCACCCGTTAAACTTTGAGAGATGTTTCAGGATTTTTATAAATACAAGAAACATCAACCAAAAAATAAAAAATAAAATCCATCTAAATCAACCAAAACCCAGAATAAATCTATCAAAATCAATCAAAAAAATCTTTCGAAATCAGCTAAAAAAACTTAAAAGAATCCTTCAAAATGATAGAATTCAGCTAAAAAAGCATCGAGTGACTTTGTAAACCTATGATCCATTTTAAAGATGCACCAGTTCAACAAATATTTTGGATCCACCACTAATTTATCAGATGTGTTCACATCTTATTGAGCGCACCTCCAATTGAATGAATTACAAGGACCCATTTTTTGTATTTCGTTAGATGGCAGTAATTAGGGGTTGCTCATGGGATTGGTTGATCGGGTTGAAGACATTTGAACAATCCAACCCAATGTTTGGGGTTTGGGAAAAGTGCAACCCAACCCGTACGGGTTTGTCGGGTTGATACTTTGGTATATTAAAATATTCTTCTAACCTTGAATATGTCATTTTTCTACTCATAATTTTTTTTTTCATCATCAACAATTTGATATAACTTATCCATATTTCTTATGTATATCACATTCAGTTAATTTTCTCAATTTACATATATATGTTCACAGTTACTGAACATATATATGAATGAGTTATATAAATATATGAATAGATTGAAAATATGTGTATATGAAAAGTGTAACGCCCCCAGAACCCCGTAGCAATGATATTGTCCGCTTTGACTAACTTCCCCGCTATACCACAAGGGAAACCGGTCATCGCATATCAGAGTCCGCAGCACGGAAGCGAATGATATTGTCCGCTTTGGCACGCTATACCACAATGCCTCACGGTTTTGTTTTCCCCGCTATACCACAAGGGAAACCGGTCATGCTAGGATGAGGTATCCACACCCT